ATTGATTGAAAGTTCTTATTATCTTCCCAATTCAAATCAGGACCATTAAACTAGACAAGTGTCCACCTGAGAGGGGAGCCAATTGGAATTTTACTGCCAACCCCACATCATTCTCTGGCTGTGATGAAAACAGAATATTTGTGGGTCTGTTTCGACAGGTATCAAAAATTCTGCTCCCTGGAATTCCGTGCTGTTTGCACTTTTCCAGCAAAGAGCCTGCAAAATGCTTGTCTCTACACCATCAAGACTGATCACACAGGAAGTATGTCTCAAGCTGCTTTGGGAATCATTTAGGGTTAAAATATTACCAAAGTTTTGTTTTGTGCCTGGAGTTATCCTGCAATATTAACCAAGTCCCACAATCCTACCTGTTACTACCAAGAAGATCAAAGGCAGTAAGATACTAGGGAAACCATCGCCTCCAATTTCCTCTTTGTGACTTGAAAAATATATAATCATTTCGTCAGGGTTACTGGATTCAAATCCTGCAATTTCCCCTACAGTAGCATACTGGCTCCTGCTTTATCGAATGAACTGCAGTGGTAAAACCTTTCAGCGTCCCCCTTAGAGCAATAACATCCCCCACAACCAGTTCTCCTCTCCGTCACACAGTCTCTCGCAACCTTCTCATTGGACGTCAATGCAGTGTGGAGCTGGAGGAACACAGCAGGTCAGGCAGCATCAGCGGAGCAGGAGAGTTGACGTTTCGGGCCTAGACCCTTCATCAGGACTGGGGAGGGTTTAGGGAGCTGGGAAATAAATAGAGGGAAGAGGGGTGGGGCTGAGAGAAGGTAGGTCGGATGGTGATAGATGGATCAAGGTAGGGAGTAATGGGGATTAGTCAGTGAGAAGAGTGATGCAGATAGGTGGGGAAGGAGATGGACGGGTCAAGGAGGTGGGCATGACAGGGAGAGTTGGATGTGGGATGAGGCTGGGGGTGGGGAGATTTTAAAACTGGTGAATTCTATGTTCAGGCCATCAGCTGTAGGCTCCTGAGGTGGAATATGAGGTGTTGTTCCTCCAGCTTGCGTGTGGCGTCATTGTGACACTGGAGGAGGCCCAGGATGGACATGTCACCCAGGGAGTGGGAGGGGGAATCAAAATGGTTAGCGACCAGAAGTTGTTGTTGATTATAGCGTACAGAGGGCAGATGTTCCGTAAATCTGTCACCGAGTCTCCATTTGGTCTCACCGAAGTAGAGGAGGCCACATTGGGAGCAATGGATACAGTAGGCCAGGTCGGAGGATGTACAGGCGAACCCCTGTCGGATATGGAAAGTTTGTCTTGGGCCTTGGATGGAGGTGGAGGGGCAGGTATAGCACTTCCTGCGGTTGCAGGGAAAGGTGCTGGAGGTGGTGGGGTTAGTGGGGAGTGTGGAGCAGACGAGGGAGTTGCGGAGAGAGCGGTCCCTATGAAGGGCAAATAGAGGTGGGGAGGGAAATATACCTTTAATTGTGGGGTTGGATTTTAGGTGGCGGAGAATGGTATGCTGTATGCGGAGGTTGGTGGGATGATAAGTCAGGACAAGGGGATTCTGTCTTTGTTTTTGTTGGGGGGAGGGGGTTTGAGGGCAGAGGTGCAGGAAACGCAAGAAATGCGGTTGAGGGCATTTTCGATCAACAGAGGGGGAAGTTACGGTTCTTGAAGTAGGAGAACATCTGGGATGCCTGGGAGTGGTACACTCTATCTTGGGAGCAGATGAGGCAGAGGCGGAGGAATTGGGAGTGGGGGATGGCATTCTTGCAGGAGGATGGGTGAGAGGAGGTGTAGTCAAGGTAGCTGTGGGAGTCGGTGGGTTTGAAATAGATGTCAGTGCTTAGACGGTTACCGCATATGGACACAGAGAGGTCCAGGAAGGGGAGGGGGGTATTGGAGATGGTCCAGGTGAATTTGAGGTTGGGGTGAAAGCTGTTAGTAAAGTTGATGAAGTGTTCAAGCTCCTCGTGGGAGCATGAGGCAGCGCCTATACGGTCATCGATGTAGCGGAGGAAGAGGTGGGGGATAGTGCTGGTGTAACAGCGGAAAAGGGACTGTTCCACATATCCTATGAAGAGGCAGGCATAGCTCAGACCCATACATGTGCCCATAGACACCCCTTTAGTTTGTAGAAAGTGGGAGGAGTTAAAGGAGAAGTTGTTAAGGGGAAGTACAAGTTCAGTAAAGCGGATGAGGGTGTCAGTGGAGGGGAACTAGTTGGGCCTGCGGGAGAGGAAGAAGCGGAGGACTTTTGGGCCATCCATGTGGTGGTACACATGTGTGGGGATTGGATGTCCATAGTGAAGATGAGGTGTTGGGGGGCCGGGGAATTGGAAGTCCTGGACGAGGTGGAGGGCATGGGTGGTGTCCCGGACATAGATGGGGAGTTCCTGCAGCAGTGGGGAAAAGATAGAGTCAAGGTAAGTAAAGGTGAGTTCAGTGGGGCAGGAGCAGGCAGAGACAATGGGTCAGCCGAGACAGTCAGGTTTATGGATTTTGGGAAGGAGATAGAAACTGGTGGTGCAAGGTTAGGGGATCGATGAGGTTGGAGGCTGTGGGTGGGAGGTCTCCTGAGGTGATAAGGTTATGCATGGTCCGAGAGACGATGGTCTGGTGATCAGGAATGGGATCGTAATTGAGGGGGCAGTAGGAGGAGGAGTCAGAGAGTTGGCACCTGGCCTCTGCGATATAAAGGTGAGTGCACTATACTACTACTGCGTTCCCCCTCCCCTTATCTGCGGGTTTGCTGGGGAGGTTGGGGTTGGAGTGGAGGGCTGCGTGTTCCATGGGGGAGAGGTTGGGTCTACACCCGAAACATTGAATCTCCTGCTCCTCTGATGCTGCCTGACTCGCTGTGTTCCTCCAGCTCCACACTGTATCGACTCTGACTCCAGCATCAGCAGTTCCTGCTATCGCCGAGTGACTTCTCATTGGACATACCAGCTCTCAGTCCAGTTTAATTTCAGCTTTGTGTTGTCAGCTTTGCTGCTGGGTAAACAGCCAAGCTGTCAATCTGAATAAAATTTAAATTTAAACACATGCTTCTGGGATTCCCAATCTCAAAGAGCTCCCCAGCTCCTTCTCGCGTCCCTGAACTCAAACCCATGGCAACTCCTTTCTCTTCAGCCTTAATTCCATCACCCTCGAGCACTGGGTAGAACAGAAATGTGGTTTTCTAAATGACACATACACACATTCGATGTTCAAGCTGGTTTGAGACACCAATTTTGAACACCATGTTAACATCTCCTAAAGTCAATCTGGGATTAAGACCTCTTGCACAATGCTACGATACGTCCTGATTGCACAGCATTCCTACAGGGCAACTAAAGATGGGCAACAATTATTGGCTTTGGTGGCAAAACTTAATACTGCAAGTATATGGGTTCTTCTGGTGCAGTGGTATGTCTCTACCTCTGAGCCAGGAGACCTGGGTTTGAGTCCAACTTGCTCCAAAAGGTGTGTAATGACATCTCTGAACAGGCTGATTCAAAACATCTGAGAGAAACTTTTAGAAGTGGGTCTTTCGGTGCAGTGGTAGTGTCCCTATCTCTTAGCCAGTTGACCCGACTTCTCATCCCAGAAGTGCGTAGTAATGTCTCTGGTCAAGCTGGTTGGAAAATTATCAGTTATAGAATCGTTATAGTGCAAAAGAAGATCCTTTGGCCCTTCGTCCCTCTACTGGTTGTCTTTCCTAGTGCCAATCTCATATCTCTGCATGATATTTCTATCAAAATAATCATCCAATGCCCTCCTGTATGCCTTGATTGAACCTACTGCCATCACATTTCCAGGTAGTGCATTCCAGACCCTAATTAGATGTGAGTTCTCTCACATCACCCTTGCTTCTTTTGCAACCGTTTTAAATCTGTGCCATTTCATTTTATTTTTAATGAGTGGGACCAGCTTCTCCCCATCTCTAAACAAACACTGAAACAACTGCTGATGCTGGAAATCCAAAACAAAAACAGAAATCCTTCTCTACATTGGGGAATTGAAGCGTAGGCTGGATGGCCACTTTGCAGAACACCTACGTTCTGTCTGTTAAAAAAGACCCTGAGCTTCCAGTTGGTTGCTACTTCAACACACCACCGTGTTTCCCTGGCCAACATCTCTGTTTCAGGTTTGCTGCACTGCCCCAGCGAAGCTCAGCACAAGCTGGAAGAACAGCACCTTATTTTGCACTTAAGGACTCTATGGCCTTTTGGACTCAATATTGAGTTCAGCAAACTTAGGGCTTGAGCTCTCTCATGTCCTTACCCCTAACCCCATACACTTGTTATCATACAGCCTGCTGTTACACACAACCCATTGTTAGCTGCTAACAATCCCCATTAATAGCTATCCACCCTCCAAGCCTGACTGTTATCCACTCCTTTGACTGTCCAATTGCTCTTCTCTCTGTTTGGGCTCTAACTCTATCTATCATTTACTCCTTAGCCCCGCCCCACCCTTTCTTCTGCACAAAAACGGACTGTTTCCTAGCAACCATCAGTTCGGAGGAAGGGTCACTCGACCCGAAACGTTAACTCTGATTTCTGTCCCCAAATGCTGTTGAGCTTTTCCAGCAATTTCTGCTTTTTGTTTCTCCCCACCTTTGTCCAACCCACTACGACTTTGAAAACCTCTATCACATCTCTTCTCAGATCTCCCAAGAAGATCAGTCCCAACTTCATCAACCTATCTTCATAAGCAAAGCTTTTCCATTCCTGGAACCATTCTTGTAACTCACTTCAGCACTCTCTCCAGTGCATTCATGTCCTCTCTGTAATGTGGTGTCCACAACTGTAAGAGCACAGGAATTGGTTTTTTGTTTGCTAAGGTATCGCATATTTGCTTGAGACTGTGTCATTTTGCTCACTTAAATTCAAACTGAACCAGCTCATTCCAAATTACGGTATATAAAGACATAGTCTGAACTGAAAACTACATACAGATTGATGGACAGTGAGATGTGTGAGGGCAAGGAACTTTTCTGCCATTTCGAACCAGGAGCCAGAAATCTTTCTGACATTGAAACATACCATCAAAGCTGCCCTTCTCTGTGGAATACTGTAAAAGTTCATTGTAGGTTTCAATGGAAGGACGATAAACAAATACTCCTGTATTGAAACAATCTGGCCAACCAGGGTCCGGCGCTGCAGATAATTCTTCCCTTTGAAAGAGTTCGTCGATGTTGCATAATACCTGTTAAAGACAGCAGAAGCATTTGTTACAGGAAACCTTCGCAAAGCCATTCTGAAAAGGAAAATACTTGGACAGAAGCAATTGTAGGGCTGTAGGATCACGGCAAGAGGAGAGGGAGTAATTGGGTAGCAGTTTCAAAAGGCGGATGGGTCAAATATCCTCCTTTTGTGCTGCAGCTTTCGATTTATGTGGCCCTCATCTAAAGCTGCATCATAAGCTGGTAGGCCCGAAACGTTTTCTCCTCTATCCATCTTCTATCCGCCTCCCCCTCTCTCCCTATTTATTTCAGAAACCCCTTCCCCTCCCCCATTTCTGATGAAGGGTCTAGGCCCGAAACGTTAGCCTTCCTGCTCCTATGATGCTGCTTGGCCTGCTGTGTTCATCCAGCTCTACACCTTGTTGTCTCATAAGCTGGTAGCTTCTGTCTTTTTATCATAGTTGTGCTACTGCAGATAGACTGAATTGAGCTGGCTCACAAAGGTGAATGAGTTAATAGAGATCGACAGCACAAAAGAACGCAAATTGTGCAACTCCCATACTGACCGATGTTTCAGACAACACCTTTTTAAGGCTGAAATGAATAACACATGCAGTATTCAGCAAGTTACACCATTTTAAACTGAAATCATTCCCTCATACCATCTCATTGCTGTTTGTGGAACCTATATTAAGCTTTACAGTTTTGAACTTCTTCATTGACTGTAGAGTGCATTGGAGGTCAGGAGTCTGTGAAAGACGTCACATAAAAGCCAGTTCTTTTTTTCTATAACCAGTCACTAAGTCAGCAGTCAGTCACTTTGAAGGAAATCTCTGAAAAGTAACTGAAGACAAACTGGCCATGCCTTCAGATGAATAAGCAATTTTAGGCTTACTGTTGACACATGAATGGATACAAGGAATTCTAATATGCTGCCCAAATGAGCTGCAGGAAGGCACTGAAAGCAGCGAAAACTAGTTCAGTTGGAGGTGACTATATTGGCATCCTGACAAAAAGCAAATCTTCCCACCCCAATTATAGCATCAGTAAGTGGAGCTCAACATCGACTATGGTCATACCTCTGGCACCATATCAACCACATGTGACTACTGACATTAACTCTTTGAGTAGACATAGCCTTCCATCCACTCCAGTCAAATAAATCAGAGAACTTGAAGAACGCTAGAGAAATTATTGCTCTTGGTTTGTTTAATGCAATGCATTTCTTAACCATAGCAAGCTAATAAAATATGAGAAAATTAGGCTCTTGTGGTGCTGTGGTAACGCCCCACCTCTGGACTCAGAAGCCCAGGTTCAAGACCTGCCTGCTCCAGATGTACAATGCAACTTGTCTGAACAGATTGATGTCAGATCACTCAGGGAGAACATGCGATCAGGACCTATTGTCTAGGAGTTTTTAATTCCAAAAACAACTTTTAGAGATGTCATCAACTTATTCATTACTGGTTTCTCAAACCAGTTTCAGCCTGGAACCTGTCAGACCATTTAGAAAACCACACTCCATTCAGCACCTGAGGGTGATGGGAGTGGCTCTAGCTTTGAGTTCAAGGACCCAGGACAGAGGTAAGGAGCTCTTTGAGATTGGGAATCCTGGAAGTATGTGTTTAAATTTAAATTTTATTCTGATTGACAGCTTGGCTGTTTACCCAGCAGCAAAGCTGACAACACAAAGTTGAAATTAAACTGCATTGAGAGCTGGTACGTCCAGTGGGAAGGTGGGAATCATCCAGTCATCGACCATGGAAACAGATCCTTTGGTCCAACTCATCCATGCCGACCAAGCTTCCCAAACAAAACCAGTCCTTTTTGCCTGCATTTTGCCCATACCCCTCTAAACTTTTTCTATTCATATACCTATCCAAATGTTGTAACTGTACCTGCACATATTGCTCCCTCTGGCAGTTCATTCCATATACAAACCACGGTCTGTATGAAAACATTGCTCCTGAGGTCCCCTTTAAGTCTTTCTCCTCTCCACTTAAAAACATGCCCCCTAGTTTTGCAACCTCCTACCTTAACATCCTACCTTGGGGAAAAGACATTTGCTATTCACCTTATTTATTCCCCTCTTGATTTTATAAACCTCTATAAGGCCACCCCTCAAACTCCAGCCTCTCCTTATAACTCAAACCCTATATTGCCAGTAACATCCTTGTAATTCTTTTCTGCGCCCTTTTCAAATTAATCGTATCCTTCCCATAGCAGTGAGACCAGACATTTGTAAACCATTAATTCATATCTGAAGAGGGGTCACTGGATCCAAAACGTTAGAGACTGTGTGAAGGAGAGGAGAACTGGTTGTGGGGAATTACAGCAGAGGGGTAGCACTGAGGAGAGGTAGAGGAATAAACCTTGACTCCTCCTAGTCCACAATCAGGGCTATAAAGGCATTTATCATGTGGATTGACATTCCTACTTGGCACCTTTCATCCTTAGGGCTTTCATCCTTGGGGTTGACTGTGAGTTGAAAGAAACAAACTCAAGCCATCTGCTAATAGAGCTGAGATCCACTCTCACTGTGGTTCCACAACACAGCTACAAACTAGTCATGAGCATGAAGAGGCAATTCAAGAAGCCTTAACTTCTGAAATCAGATTCGAATAGCATTTCATCTAAAATACGTTAGACAATTATTTGAATTTGATGGTGTAGAACCTGAATTTCATTGAAAAAACAATTTTGTTGAATTTTTCATGTTGCACTCATCAGGATAATTTGCAAGAGTACCAATGTAAAATGAAAACTACATTGATGCTGTATGAGAGGAGAGTGCTGATTGGTTACCAAGTGGACTCTAATTGGTGGAGGTGCCATGGAGGATACACCAACTAATAATGATGGACATGAAATAACTCCACACAGGCTGGTATCCCATCACCAAGTCACACTTTATTCACACTTAATTCACACTTGTATAGTACTTGACACTGGTCCGGGTTCCTCAGAGCTAGCTCTCAGAGTGAACAGAATCTCTGGCACAGAGATAGCAAGAACCGTAGATGCTAGAGTCAGAGATAATGCAGTGTGGAGCTGGAGAAACACAAAAGGCCAGGCAGCATCAGAGGAGCAGGAGAATTGATGCTTTGAGTCGGGACCCTTCTTCAGAAATGTCAACTTTCCTGCTCCTCTGATGCTGCCTGGCCTGCTGTGTTCATCCAGCTCCTCACTGTGTTATCTCAGAATCTCTGACACTCCTGTTTATATCTGTCAGCTAGGGCTCCTTGATTAGACCAGATTAACAGCCCCAAATCAGGGAGCTCATATTCTTATGAGGTCCAGCTGGCTAACCTTGTTACAGTCACGACAGAACAGTTCCTACAACTGGTGCATTCTCTATAGCAACACCTCTACCAGAGTCTACTCACTAACCAATCAGCACTCTCCTCTCATACAATATAAATGTTACTTTCCTTGTACGTCAGAATTCTTGCAAATTGTCCTGCTAAGTGCGAGATAAATAGCTTCAATAAAGTTTGAGATCCTGTAAGTTAGTTTCCAGCAATATAAGGCATACTAACACAAAAATGCATGTTCTCTAAGCGTGTTAATCATTTGTGAGCAAATTTTGTCTTAACAGTCATTGTGCTGAGTTAACTCTCACTCCCAGTTCACTTTGAAAGGCTAATTCTATGTCCTTGCTTGTGCCCCAATTTGTAGAACCTTGCATTTATTGGCATTGAGTTAATTTGGTATTTCTCAGGGTTGCTGCTTAATGGATCTAAATGCGGCTACAAACCCTTAGCTATATCCCCTGCCCCTCCTATACTCCCGAGTTAAGTATCATCTGTAAATGTTAGAAGCTGAAATTGGTTTCTGTGTGGTTCGTCTATTAGCAAACTCTGACCCCACCAACCCCATTATCTTACACAGTGTTTTAATGAACAGCTGGGAAAGATTAGGTTTTTTTTTAAATTGGACCTATTTTTCTAATCAACATATTCAGGGATATTATTACACACCTCTGGAGCAGGTGGGCCTTGAACCTGGGCCTCCCAGTCCATTGGTAGGGACACTACCCCAAGAAGGCCCCAAAGATGAAGTTATGAAAAGGGAAAATAAATCAGGTAGTGCACCCCCATGCTCATCCACTTAAATTTTTAATAAATCCAAATCAGATGATCGATAAGACTTGAGCAAAAGGCATGTATGGGACTGAATTAACAGTCAATAATCAGGGCCCGACTTAAATTATCTGTGGGGAGCTCTGTGCCATTATTTGCTAGCAGCAGATTCAAGGAGGAGGGGTAAAAGGTTTACATAGTAAACACTGATGGTCAGCTCCTTTACCATTCCTTGGACCTCTGCCTGGTTATGACCCCTATTCTCTTCCTTTTGAACACAGCCTGGTGCTTCAGCATTCCCTGTCTGGAACCTCCTCAGCTCCACCACCACCAGACCCCAGCTTCTGCTTCGTCCCCGTCCCAACGGCCCCAAAGCCTTTGCTCGCTGGCTGCTGGGAAACCCCTTCACGTGTGCCCAGTTGCAGAGCAGTGCTGTGGTGTACCTATCAGTCAATCCACCCTGTGGATAGGCGGTACACAGCCCAGAATTATTCAAATGCAGCCTGTTCAGAGTAAAATAGAAACTGGAAGCAGGAGTAAGCCATTTGGCCCTTTGAGCGTGCTCTGCCATTCAATATGTTCATGGCTGATCATCCAACTCAGTCCCCTGTTGCCACTTTCTTCCCATATAGTTTAGCCTCAACAACTATGTCTAACTCCTCCTTGAAAACATTAAAACATTTTGGCCTGAACAGCTTTCTGTGACAGAGAATTCCACAGGCTCACCACCCTCTGAGTGAAGAAATGTCTCCTCATTTCAGTCCTAAATGGCCCACCGCGTATCCTTAGACTATGACCCCTAGTTCTGGACTCCCCAGTCATCAGAAACATCTTGTCTGCATCCACAGTGTCTAGTCCTGTTGGAGTTTTATCCAAATCCCTGGCCAGGCTGGGTTCTCAGTCCACCATTAGGCTCTCCACACTCTCTCCTAACATCCTCTGTTAGCATTTGGCTTGGGGACTTCCATTTTCTTAATTTAATTGAATTCTAAATTCGCCTTCAGAGTTTTGTTTAACAAAATGGGACCATCAGAATGACATTGCCTGTATGTTGTTATTCATTGTGCGTAGTGTGTTCATTTTAATGAACGGTATCTTGACCTTTCTCCTGCACTACAGAACAAGGCTTGTATCTTAAAATGGAATGATTGGAGTGCGGTAGCTTCCAGCTTATGTCACATCTGCGTAATGTGCAACTTAAACGTTACATATCCTTCAGCCCTGAGAATAAATGATCTTGTAGAGCCTTTGACAATTTATTTGTAAGAGAATAAGGTCAAACTGGACCTTAGCTATATGAATCCACAATATGATGATATTTCTTTTCTGGATTAAATTTCAAAGATCATAGAATCACTACAGTGCGGAAGCAGGCCACTTGGCCCATCAAGTCCACAGTAACCCTCCGAAGAGCATCCCACCCAGACCCAACACCCAGCCCTGCATTTCCAATGGCCGACTTACCCAACCTACACACTATGATCAATTTAGCACAGCCAATCCACCTAACCTGCACATCTTTGGTTCATGGGAGGGAACCAGAACACCCAGAGGGAACCCACGCAGACACAGGGAGAACATGCAAACTCCACATAGACATTCACCTGAGGGTGGAATTGAACCCAGGTCCCCAGGGCTGCAAGGCAGCAGTGCCAACTACCATGCCACCCTGTGACTTTGTCAAGGTCAGGAATCACATGACACCAGGTTATAGTCCAACAGGTTTTTTGAAAACACAGGCTTTTGGAGCCTCGTTGCTTCTTCAGGTGTTAGTGAAAGTCTAAGTTAACAAGAGAAAGTAGACCAACCCAGGGATTTAATATGGATTACTGCACTTTAGTCATCTCTTGAAACATAAGCAGCAAGGAGCGGTGTCTGTATACTGTGCAGACTATATTTGATTGCTTAAGCTGCTCTTGGTCAACATTGAGGGTATTTTGCAAGCCTTGGGTCATCTCTCCCAATATGTGAAGTCTGTCACTTACCAATGTGTCTGCATCCATGAATACACACTTGGAATAATGTGTGAGAGCCCAGCAGTGGAGCTTAGTAAACGTCACACCGAGTTCTGGCCTCTTGATCATCGCCAAATGTGCAGAATCCTTGCTGTCCAGTACGTCCACTAAGATAACTTCATCAAAGATTTGTTCCAACACAGACCTAGGGAAATACGGGCAGGTTTTAAAACAGTAAAACACACATTTCACATTTGAGAAGTTCACGGAATTTTCAGAGGCAATTTGTATTCAGCTTTAACGAGGTGTCAAATTGAACACAACACTTTCACCTCATCCCACCTGAGTGCCTTTGTTCCAAGAACAGAACTACCAACCAACCTAATGAAGTGCTAGAACATTGAAGAAACATTTGTGCTTTAAGTTTCAAGTAAAGCAGAGAAAAAAAAAGGCCACGATTGCACCAAAATGGCGTCTAAAGAAGATTACTGAATTAATATATGAAACAGAAAGCATTGGAGAAACTCAGCACGTCTGCAAACAGTTCTGCACAAGAGTTATATCGGACTTAAAATGTTGTATCTTGTTTCTCTCTCTATAGGTGCTGCCAGACCTACTGCGTATCTCCGAATAAAAACCGAAAGAACTGTGGACGCTGTAAATCAGGAACAAAACAGAAATTGCTGGAAAAGCTCAGCAGGTCTGGCAGGATCTGTGAAGTGAAATCAGAGTTAACGTTTTGGGTCGAGGGACTTTTCCTCAGAACTGATCTCCAACACTTTCTGTTTACGTTTCCAAAATTTCCGCAGTGCTGTGCTTTAACCAAACTTTTACCCTCACTACTCTTCCCTACTTAACGGAAACTGTCAATGTACCTACACCACATGGACTGGAGCAATTCAAGAAAGCAAATCACCACCCCCTTCTCAAGGGCAATTAGGGATGGGCAATTAACGCTGGCCCAGCCAGGAATGACCACACCCAAGGAAGGGTGAGCCATCCATGTCTGTTGCAAACTCTGCAACAATACAGAAAGTTCGAGGATGGACATTAGACATTGCCACTCTTTGGAATTTACCTTCAATCCCCGGTGCTAAGAATATGAAATCCAGCCCATTTGTGAATGCAGCCAGTGCTAAACGTACTGTTGATTGCAAAAAGTCAGCTTCCATGGCTTAAGCTCAGTCTGCATGAGGCAGCCGTAGCATCATGCTGGAATTATGCACTAGTAATCCAGAGGCCTGGGCTAATGATCTAAAGACATGAGTTCAAATCCCACCATGACAACACTGAGTTCATAATTTTGGAATTACAAAAAGCTGGTATCATTAACGATGATCATAAAACTCTCACATTATTGTAAAATCCTACCTGATTTATGGAAGAAAAACAACTATCTTTATCATCTGGCCAGCTTGCAACTTCAGCCCCCAGAAATGTGGTTGACTCTTCGCTGCCCTCTGAAATGGCCAAGCAAACCACTCAAGTTGCTGAAAATTCAAATACAGTAGCTCAGCACAACCTTCTCAAGAACAGCTAGGGATCGGCATCAAATCCCCTGAATGAAGGCATTCAATGGCAAAGGACAAACAGGAGCCCTGCACCCCTTCGGCACTGGGCTCCAAGGGGAACTTTGAACTTAACTTTTCCAAAGTTGGCTAACTATGATGTAGTGCCTGATTGCTAATATCTCAGACCCCCGTGTTACACAAGCAGATTTCAACAAAGGTCTCGAGTGTTCCAGTGGGAGCTCAGACTGCAAACTGCAAGATCAGCTGGCCAACAAACCACAGTTATAACGGCTGTAGATCCCGATTTTCCAAAGGGCTTGTAGGTTGCCATGTCCCCCTCCAAGTAGGCAACAGTTCAGCAATCTATCTTCCGACAGTATTGCTGAGGTGTTGCCCCAGGAGCATGTGCAACACAAGCCTGCAGCAATCTCCCTCTCTCTGGATGAAAACATTCCTCCTTTTACTCTCAATCCAGAAAGCCCTTGCTGTTGCCCGCAGTCAGATGCAGCAGACCGAGAGCTTTTTGGGGTTTTCCTGGAAAGCCTTTTGCAATGTTCATCGCTGAGAGCTCGCAGCTTTTCTCTTACTGTAGCTGCTGTGCTAGCACTTGCCCAGGTCCAACCACGATAGGGAAAGGTATGAAATCAATGCAAACATTTGATTGATTTATGTCCGCATGTACATTTTTTTTTCCCCACAAATTTTGACTGAAAAGGTGTATTTTATGTCGGCTTTTAGTCTTCCACTGTGGCTCAGAGGATGACTAATGTAAGCTAAGGGGTAGGGTTAGGTTCGTGGGGTCGGTGGGAATTCAGGTTTCTGTTGTACTCAGGTTAGCTTCTCAGGCACAGCCAGAGCAGGAGAATGTCATAAGCCTTCGTTTCCATCTGCTCCTTGCCTGAAAGCTGGTGCCTAGGGCTGTTAAACCTGAATTCCCACCGACCCCACGAACCTAACCCTACCCCTTAGC